TCATTAGGAAAAAAAATTCAGTGTCATAGATATCTGTTCACCACTGCTTAAACAAGCTGAGGTTTGAAAAAAACAAACAAACAAACCCTAAAGGAAGTTAGGTGCTTACTTTCAATGAGATTAAAGATCTTAAACTCACTTGCCTGTTTCAAAATATTCATAGGATCCTAGGACTGGAAGGGAGAGTATTGCTTTCTCCAATGCTATGTTTGGTCCTAATACAACAACACTGTTCTCCGGGTGCATCTATTCATGAAATTAGCACAGTCGAATAAACTCCATCACAGTTCTTGCTGGAGTTTATTGTTCCTGGGTGCAGAATTAGAGTAGATGGCAATTTGTTCCCAGTCATCCTAAGTAGTGGGGGGGACACAGAGGACAGTGGGTGGGGTGGTGGGACCTGTTCATGGCTCCTGTGTGAAGATAATGATCTCAGTCCAGCTTGATGGTGCAGGGTTGGGGTGACACCTGTGCCCGAGTGCATGTGGGGGGGGTGGCGGGGGCCATAACCACTGCTGGGACTGGGGAGAGGGGAGACACGAGGGGGAAGCAGCACCAGGACTTTCCTGTAGGTTTTGTTAAAGACGCCATCAGCATGCCTAGGTGGAAAACAAATATCACATGTAACGGTGCCGCCCCCAGCTGTTCCCAGCCCCGTTCAAGGGAAGGCTGATTTTGGTATCCCCCTGCAGCAGGGATGTGTGAGCTTCTGCTGCTTTCAGATCTGCTCAGAAGACAAGGGCTTTGCCCCAGCTCAGAGTCCTCTAATTATGTTTTCTGGCATGAAGTACAAGGTGTATATGTTGTCCAGTTTCTTACCCCCTCGCAGCTTCTCCCTGCAGTCCCGGTGCTGCTTAGCCCCACTGCCAGGCAAAAGGCGTAAGAGGGCCTGGGATCCCAAGATCTGTGCAGCTGGGAGCTGTCCCCCATTTCAGAACAGTTCCCGCCTCTCTCCAAAACTCAGGCCTGACCCCTGTGCCGCCTGCCAGCCCAGGACTGGCACCAGGGAAGCCTGGAACTCTCCCTGGCTGCTGCAGCACAGCAAAGCAGGGCAGGCAGGTAGGAACAGCCCTGCACTCAATTGCTCCCACTGGGAGCAGATTTGCTCCTGACTCAGGTGCACATGTATACACATACCCAGGTGAAATTTAGTGGGTTGATAGTTTTTACCATGCAACACTTTTTGCCATATTGTGCTGAGATGCTACTGCAGAGCAGTGTAACAGCTGTATATCTCACTGGGCTGCAAGCTTGGTGGATGCACTATGTCTAGTACCCTTTGCATAAAGGCCAGCAAATGCTTGCACTGGGTGCCATGGCTTTTCCAAGCAGGAGAACACACTATGCACTGTGCATGCTTTTTATTGGACTATCTGCAATGCAATTAGAGCCCTTGCTGAAAACTGAGGGCTCCGATTGGCTGTGCTTGTGCTTTAAAGCACCCCTAATGTGGGAAAGGTGGAGAGTAGGATGCAATTCCAGCTTTGAGAGAGACAGGGGCAGAGGCGCAGCGCCCCACTCCTCCACTGGAACAGGATATGAGCTTTGCTCAAGGAGCTCACACGCCAGAGACCAATCAGCGACTGGAAGGCGGAGTAGGGGTCCCCTCACAGCCAATCTTGCCAAATGGGGGGGGGTAGGGGGCGTTCCCCCACGGCCGATCACATTGACTGGGAAGCAGCCACGGCACTCCTGGAAGTGGCCGCAGTATTCCTGGTAGTGGCTGCGTGATGAAAGGGGGTCAGAGCCTCAAGAAGAACAGGAGCTGTGTTCACACCAGGTAGTGGCAGATCCTTGCAATAAATGTGTTGCTATTTATTACAATGAGAGGGGAGGTTAAATTCTAAAAGGAAACTGTTTTGTTTTTATCAAAAGGATATGACCATGGGAGTGTAATCAGTGCCGGAGTCTGCTGTAAGGGAACAACCCCCTGTATTACAATTATTCACTTACAGTTACATTGCTAGATTGTATTCAAATGATTGCTTTTATTATTCTCTATTGATAATATATATATGTATATATGCCTTCTTTTTGATTAATCTCTTTCTCTTCCTGTATATAGTTATATATATAATAAAGAAACCCATCTGTTCATTGGGCTTGGAGTAAATGCTTGGACTATGAGGGTGAGGGCCAAACCCGCTCCCACGGACACCCATCAGCAGATCTGCCTGAGGGAGATCCCAGGGCTACTGGCACCTTGAGGATCTGAAATCTGGCATATTGCCCAGCCTCGTGCGCCGGCAAAGGTTACAGCAATATAAGGCTACTGCACAGCAGTGTCACTTAAAAGGTGTTTGCTGGTGCTACTGTGTAGTAACTCTTGTTACTGTGAATTTATATAATACTTCTCTTATACAAGCACTAAATAAATATGCAGTAAAAACTGTGCAGCAATGTCTTGTGTAGATGCACCCACTGGACCTTTTTTTAATGCACAGTAACTTTGAGGTTAACCTACACACAAAAAAAAAGGAAAAAAAGCCCTGCACTCATCGGTTGCTGCAGCAGCTGTCATAGCCTCTGGGGGCTAATGGCAGAGCCCGCCCCTCCCCCACCACACACACAGCGCGGGGTAGTGGTGGGGCTCTGGGGATCGCCCCCCTGCCTGGCAGGAACCAGTGAGTGCAGGTTGTTTTAGGGTTTTTTTTAAGGTGTTGGGACACTGGAGCCAGGTGGGGCAGCCATTGATGGGGCTAGGAGAGCGGACGGGAGATCAGGCCTGTTCAGTTCAGAGATTCAGCCAATATGGCAGCCCCTGAATCTCCAACTCAGATTTGGCTGAATCGATTCAGGATGGTGATTTGAATCACTGAATTGAATCACTGTCTTCGAACCGGATGAATCCGAATCCGAAGCAAATACTAGCCGCTTTGTACAGGCCTACCGCAGATGACACGTACTGCATATGACACACATTCTGGCCCAGAAGTAGGAAACAATAAGTAAAAGATGATCACAGTAAAGAATGAAACAAAACTTTTTGCCTTAAAATACATGAATCCAGAAAGGCTTGTTTCTGATTCTGTGCTTCAGAGGTAAGCTGGGCTCTAGGGAACAAGTCCCAGAAGCCCTAACATGAGACATGTGGATAAATCACCTTCCTGCAGCATCAGTTCTTCCATATCAGTGAAGTTCACCGTCTTCTGCAGAGAGAAACTGGTTTGGATCTACTTCTGTCAGGTCAGTCTTGGAGCAGAGAGAAAGCTCCTACTTCACCGTCTTCTGCAGAGAGAAACTGGTTTGGATCTATTTCTGTCAGGTCAGTCTTGGAGCATAAAGAAAGATCCTACCAAGATATTTTGACTTCTGAAGGTGTGGTAGTGGCAGGGAAAAGGGAATTTAGATAGATCAGTAGAAGGAAAATAAGCAAAGACTCCTGGCACTGGAGAATCAGATCACAAGCTGAGAAAAACTTCACATTAATTTGTATAATAAATTTACAGCAATGTGCTTAGGTGGTAAGAAGAGGGATTAATGTGGAAATTAGATAGATCAGTAGAGGGAAAATCACGCAACAGTCTTTGTGAAGTTTTTCTCAGTTTAAGATAGAGCCTCGAGATTCTTTGCTTAAGTTTTTAACTGCAATTAAATATGGTTGGTTGGCAAGAAGGGCATGTGGGGGTATTTAAGAACCTGAAAATGACATTGAAGTGGACAGCTCTCAGCATTTTAATAGCAAGATATTCAAAATTCTTCAGCTGGTCAAAGGTAAAAAGAAAAGAAAGAAAAGAAAAGAGCTCCCTTTAGAAAGCTGAAATTGCCATCAAGTACCCCACATTGCAGTGTTTCAGCAACTTGAGATTTTTTTTTCAATCAAAAGTTCCTGGAGGCTGCCTATTTTAAACCAATTTATTCGTCCACCCCCATATTGATAGAGCTTCTTCATAAACTGATTGTTTTGAAGAAAATGCATGAATTGTGAGAAAATATATGTTTAACAAAATACATTTTTATAAGAATCATCTTTCTAGGCTTAAATTCTAAGCCCCACGGCAGAGATTCAGTATTGCCCAGCAACACCAGAATTACAATCCCACCTCAGTCATTGCATCCAGATTTGGTTGTTTTCCAGAAAAAATGCTTGGAGGAGGGAGAACTCAGTAAGTCCCACAGTTGATCCCCCTGAAAATGTCTTTTACATATCTGAGTGCCTCTCAAGTTAGGGTTGGGGGACGCAAGAAAGTGAGATGAGGAAATGCATAATGAGAAGCATCTCTTGCCCAAAAAAGCTTCAAGTTCTTGTACCCAAATGACAAAGATTAATGACACAACGTGGAGATAACAGAAGGATGGCACTGGCCTATTATGGCATAGAGATGAGTGTCCAGATGGGGATGGGGACCATATAAATTGGCAAATAGCCACATGGCAGGCACTACTCAGATTCATTTCAGACGAGGTGACACTTAGGATGGTGTCTATGCATATGCAGTATATACCAGGGAAGGGGAAAGGTGGGTGTGCTAGCCATTTTTTGACCAGCTTCTTATTGTAGTCACAAGTGCTGTGTTGCCTGATCTTCATGTTTGCTGAGCTTCTTGCTGTTCTTGTTGTTGCTATTAAAAATCAAATAAAAATGCTGTACTCTGGTCTGCCAATTTGATGAAGGGAGATGGCTTCATAGTGAGATCTGAAATGAGATGAATGAGAGCATGAAGCAATGAAAAGGCAAATCTGCTGAGATATTGCATTACCAATATTCATAATTACAAAATTTGTTTTGTTCTGAAAGAGTCTCTTTTGTGTGTTTTGGTTATATATATATATAAAACCACTGTTAAGGATGTTTGTGAAGCTCTTTTATACACAAAAAGACATATTCCCAGCAATAATACTTTCCACTGACAATTTTACAGCACTTAAAGACAGTACTGACAGTTAGTTCATGAGCTGTATGTGATATGAGATTGCCTCCTTTTATATTTGTAACATTAATCCTGGCAACTATTCTTCTCCTTTCTTCACAGGCCTTGAACTATGCGCTGAAGAGGGAAATGTCCAACCAAACCACTGTGACTGAATTCCTGCTCCTGGGCTTTTCTGATATTCGGGAGCTCCAGATCATACACTTCGTTATCTTTCTCGCAGCGTACTTGGCAACCCTGATGGGGAATCTCCTCATCATCACAATTGTAACTCTTAACTGTGAACTTCATTCTCCCATGTTCTTTTTCTTGATTAATTTGTCCATTGTGGACCTTGGCTCCATCACAGTGACCGTGCCCAAATCCATGTCTAACACTTTATTGAACACCAGGTTCATTACCTACTCTGCATGTGTTGCCCAAGTGTTTTGCCTCTTCTGCTTCTTGGGAGCAAATTTATCCCTTCCCACAGTTATGGCATATGACCGATACATTGCTGTCTGCAAGCCACTGCATTATGAGATGATAATGAACAGGAGACCTTGCATCCAGATGGCTGCCTTTGCTTGGGCTGCTGGTGTCATCTACTCTGCACTGCACACTGGGAACACCTTTAGTCTACCCTTCTGCCACTCAAATACCATCAACCAGTTCTTCTGTGAAATACCCCAGCTGCTCAAGCTCTCCTGCTCTGACACATACCGCAGAGAGCTGGCAGCTCTTGTCTTAAGTATGTTTTTAGTTCTAGGCTGTTTTGTTTTCATCGTTGTGTCGTATGTTCAGATCTTCACCGCAGTGTGGAGGATCCCCTCTGAGCAGGGCCATCAGAAAGCCTTCTCCACCTGCATTCCTCACCTTATTGTGGTCTCTCTGTTTCTTTCCAATGCCGGCATTGCCTACATGAAGCCCATCTCTGACTCCCCGTCCCCTCTGGATCTCCTGGCAGCTATTCTGTATTGTGTGGTGCCTCCATTGATGAATCCAGTCATCTACAGCATGAGGAACAGGGAGATCCAAGCTGCCCTGAGGAAACTGCTCCACAGGCTGATCCGCTCCAAGAACAACATTTCCATGACTTTGCTTTACTTATGTTTCTTTTATAATTAACTAATGAAATTAGTGTTTTCATACTATAATGTGCAAACTATTTACAAAAAATGAAGGTGGTAGGTTAATTCTGTAGCTTTGTACGTACAATGACACTTGACTTGGGTCATTATGTGTTAACACCATTGAAGCAGGAAAGTAATGTTTCATGCATCAATTTTACTGTCTGCGTCACCTAAAATAAATCCCATCAATTACAAGACGATGAATGGAAGTTGGTGTAATCCATTATTTGGATATAGGCAAATATCCAGATTCTGTGCCGCCGGGGATGGACTGCAGACACTTTAGAGGGCAGGCACAGAATTCAGATGGACCTGGATAGACTGGGAAGCTGGGCTAGAAACAACAGGATGAAGTCCAAGGAAAGAAATGCAAGTTGTTGCATCTAGGGAAGAATAATTAAAAGCACAAATACAAGCTGGGTTATAAATAACTGTGTGGCAGCATTGTTGAAAAGGATCTTGAACGGTAAGTGTGGCCAAAATTTGGATATTGCTTCCAAGGGAGGTGGTGCTCTCCCCTAACTTGGGTGTCTGTAAGAGAACCCTGGATAGGCATCTGGCTGGGGTTATCAGACCCCAGCACTCTTTCCTGCCTAGGCAGGGAGTCAGATTTGATGATCTGTTGAGGTCCCTTCTGACCCTAGCATCTATGAATATATGGATCCTGGGGATCAGGTGCCTCACAGACTCAACATCAGTCATCAATTTGATGTAGCTACAAAAACATGAATGCAGTTTTGGGCTGCAACAACAGGAGTATTAGTTAGAAAATATGGGCAGTGGTAGGAATTAGTGCTTGGGCCAATGCTATTCAATATATTCTTTAATTATATGGACGAGGGGGTGGAAAGCTCAATGATTAAGTCAGCAGACAATACCAAGCTGTTCAGATACACAGGCATACCGTAAGATAGGGTGAAGGTCAGGATGACCTTGGAAGACTGGATTTATGGGTGGAACAAAATCAGATGAGGCTTAACAGGGAGGGAGAAGTGCAAGGTCCTTCACCTGGGTAGGGAGAACCCTCACCACAACTATACAATGAGTGGTGGTCCATTGGCTGGCACAGCGTCTGAATCAGACCTGGGGGTCACAATCAACTGGAACATGAGAATGAGCTAACCATGTGTCGAGGCTACTAGAAGGGAAAGCAAAACTCTGGCGTGCATCAACCAATGTGTGGCCAATAGATCCAGGGAGGTGCTCCTCCCTCTCTAGTCAGCCTCAGCTGGAGTCCTGTGCTGGTTCTGGGCACCACACTTCAAGAAAAATGTGGATAAGTTCAAGAAGGTACAAAGAAGGGCCACTCATATGGGTAAGGGCATGGAGGGTAGGCCCTATGAGGAGAGACTCTGGGAAGTGGGCCTGTTCAGGCTGAGTAAGAGAAGGCTGAGAGGTGACTTGATAGTTGCCTACAAGCACATCGGAGGGAGCATCAAGAAGTAGGAGAACGACTATTCAGGAGGGCACCTCAAGGGAGGATGAGGACTCATGGGCATAAACTAATAAAGGGTAACTTCAGGTTGAACATAAGAAAAAACTTCTTCTCTGTAAGGGTCACCAGGTGCAGTCAACCTCCTTGGAGGTATTCAAGATGAGGCTTGGAAGGAGCACATCTGAGTCCAAAAACTTCCAGCCCATGGCAGGGGACTGGACTTGATGATCTTACAGGTCCCTTCCAGTTCTATGTTTCTATGGCTCTATACAGCCAATTGACCTGCTCCTGGTTAGGCTTAATCTAGACTATTATGTGAAGTTCTGGGCTCCATGTTGTAAGAAAAAATATTGAAAAGTTAGGGAAGTTCAGAGATCGGTGACATGAATGACAATGGGTTGGAATGCAAGCCATGCAAGGAGAGGTTGAGAGAACTAGGCATATCTAGGTGGCAGAAAAGGCAATTATGGGGGCACATCACAGCAGTCTTGAAATATCTGAATAAGTGCCATGCAACAGTGGGTGGAAAGCAACAGTTCTTCATTGCTGCATAGGGAAGGATGTCAAGCTTCCAATTAAAGAAAAGTAATTTTAGATTAGAGTTGAGGAAAAAAGCACTCTTGTTTTTAGAGGAGTGAGGACATTTAATAGATTTCTCAGGGAAGTTGTGGAGTCTTCTTCACTGGAGGTTTTCAAGAAGAGTTTGGATGAACATTGGCCAGGAATAATTTTGGAGTAACATTCTTGCATTTGTGCAGGGATGAGATCACATGATTCTTGAGGCCTCTTCTATTCTATTGTTATTAACTGAGATTCTATTATTAATAAAATTATTAGAATAATAGAATTGTGATTCTAGTCTTATTAATTGCATCACTAATAGGTAGGGGATTTAAACAATGGACCTCTTGTCAGCCCGTAGACTTCTTCAGTCAAATAGAGCTCCTTAATGCAAGTGAGGAAGCTTTGTGACTGATTGGATTTGGCTGAATGCTCTTCCCATGAGATGTCAGGGTGGTTGAAGTCGCTCATGATGACCATGCACTGAAAGTGTGCAGCTGCTGCCAGTTCCCTAGCAAATTCATGGTCAAGCTCTTCCTCCTGGTTAGGAGGTCTGTAATAGACTCCTACAGTTATAACACCTGCACCATGGTCTCCTCGTATTGTAACCCAGAGGGTGTCAAGTCACACTCCTTGAGTGCCAATCTCTGCCTGTAGTGAAGTGTACTGCCCCTTCACATAGAGAGCTACACCCCTGCCCCTCCTCCGTTATCCCTATGAGATCATATTAATTTTTGGTTACCAAAAGGGCCAGTTTCTCCTGTTTGACCCCATGCTCCTGGCAGTTGTGTACAGGAAGCTAAGCCTACCATCGGAAGCTCTGGGATTCCCGGTGCTCTTAGAAGAGTCTCATCCTAGGGCTGGGGTAGGAGTGAGAGCCTTTGTGTTACCTGACCTCCTGATTCTGTGGTTGCCCTGATCCTTCCAGGGCTTGCACAAGTGATTGTCCACCCGTGCCCTGTCGATTTTAGTGTAAATATCATGGCATCCTTGGGTTAAAGAATGACATCATCAGTATTTCCTTCCAATATTAAATGTCAAGAAAAGAGTTTCTGTAGGTTTCTGGATGGGCACATCTCCAGTTAAAAGACTATATTAATGCTGGTTGGACCTTACCGCATGTTTAGCCATGTGTTAATATGAACCTACAATCTTACATATGTGTCCTTTTTTCTTGTTAAACCTAAGTGGCTAAATACATGCATGCTGTGTCAATTTTAGCATGATGGAAAGGCATTTTGGAAGATGAGGACATACAGTATTTCCTAAGACAACGTATGACTGAAGAATAATATCACGTGTTGATCCTGTTGATGTTGTTGGGAGAGACCATTTTCTTTGAAGAGTTCTGATTTTGAGCAATGTATTTGTTCATTGATTGGTAAATTGAAGCACATAAACTTTTAGTAATGATGGGATAGGTGTCCAAGAAGAGGGTGATATGGGTTCAAACTTCCTGTGGCCAAGATGGTTCTGGAAGCAGCTCTCTCAGTTTCCAAGGCAACTGAGTATGAGGCTGAGTAATGAGAAAGTGCTCTGAGTACTAGGTTGCTGGAAAAGAGGTGGGTTCTTCTTCCTCCATTATGCATAGTTTAAGGACACCTGACATGCACCTAAGAGTCACAGACCCTTTCATTGCCGTGATGACATGTTTTGGAATCCCAAATCTCTTTCAGTTGGATGAAGATGGCAATATACAAAATGGTGGCCATACCCAGACCATACTTTTGTGAGGAAGGCAGCTACACTTAAGACAACACCAACTGAGCCATTGCAGTTTGTACCAGTTTGCTGGTTAGCACTACAGATGAAAGAGACTTGGGGGTCATGATTGACCACAAGATGAACATGAGGCTTCAATGTGATGTGTCCTATGTTCAGATCTTCACCGCAGTGTGGAGAATCCCCTCTGAACAGGGCCGGCAGAAAGCCTTCTCCACCTGCATTCCTCATCTTATCATGGTCTCCCTGTTTGTTTCCACTGGTGGCATTACCTACTTGAAGCCCGTCTCTGACTCCCTGTCCCCTCTGGATCTCCTGGCAGCTGTTCTGTATTGTGTGGTGCCTCCACTGATGAATCCGGTCATCTATAACATGAGAAACAAGGAGATCCAAGCTGCCCTCAAGCAACTGCTCCACGGGCTGATCCCCTCCAAGAACAATATGTCCATCTTTCTTTCATGACTTTCCTTTTCGTATATTTTTCTTTTCTAATTTACACATGAAATTAGTTTTTTCATAGTATTGTGTGAATCTTACATATTTAAAATGAAGGTGGTGGGTTAATTCTGTAACTTTGTAAGGTCAAAGACTTGGCTTTTATCATTTTCGTTGACACTGTTGAAGTGGGAAAGTAATGTTTCATGCATCAATTTTCATGTTTTTGCACCATCTAAAATATATCCCATCAATTGCAAGATAATGAAGAATTCTAGTCTTTTGTTTACTAATTGGTGCAATCAATTATTCGGATGACAGAATATACAGGCAAATCTCCAGATGATGTGAAACTGGAATGAAGTGCAAGTACTTTAGGGGACAGGGATAGAGTTCAGATGGATGTGGATAGATTGGAGCGCTGGGCCTGAAACAATAAGATGAAGGCCTAGAAACAAATGCAAGTTGCTGCACATAGGGGAGAATAATCAAAAGCACAAATACAGCTTGGATTATAAATGCCTGGGTGGTATCATTGTTGAAAAGGTGGATCCCAGACTCAATATGAACTAGCAAGCGTGCTAAGAAAGATGTAAATCATAGGAGGTGATAGTACCACTCCACATGGTGCTAGTTTGGCTTCACCTAGACTACTGTGAGTCTTTCTGGGTTTCACACTTTAAGAAGGAATATGAAGAAGTTAAAAAAAGTTCATGATCAGTGTGGACGTGGAATAGACTGCCCAGGGAAGTTGTGGAGTTTCCTTCATTTCAGGTTTTCAAAAAGAGGATAGTCATTGCTCACGGATGACTTAGGAGTAACAGTCTTGCATTTGTGTAGGAGGTGGACCACATGATCCTTGAGGCCCCTTCTAACCCTATGAGTTTATTATTATTATCATTGTAATAGCATCATGAATATACAGTGG